CTCTAATTACTCCCCTTTTAATGTGCATGAATTTTGTGCACCAGGCCACTAGTTATATTATAAGTCTCTGGATCTTATTTTAGCCTCTGTTTTACCTGGCTTCCTCTGATACCTCTCTGTCTGGTAGGGGAAGGAAAGGTGGCATCTCATTACTGCCAGGTAGGTGTAGAAGTCCAGGTTCCCAATCTGCTTCCATTGACACCCAGCTGGGGTGTCTGTGTGTGTGTGTGTGTGTGTGCCTCTGTGTGAACACGCTCATTACTGCTGGCCAGCAGTTGGAGCTCTCCACTAGACCTCCACTGATATTTACCTGGCTGAGAAGAGTAGGCGTAGGCGTGCCTTGATTGCTCTCACATGGCTCCCACTGATATCATGGGGTTAGGGTGGCCTATTTTTGTTTCATAGTAGTGAAGTTTCTGACTCACAACTAGGCCTTCCATATAACCCGGCAGAGAGGGAGAGGGTGATATTATGACTTCTGCAAGTCTAGGCTCTGCCTGTGGTGTCCACTGACACTGTAGGGGGCTTGGTCGGTTACTGCCTGGAAGGGATGAAAATCTCAGGTCTGAATCTGCAAGATATTAGAGCAGCGGTTGTCAACCTGTGGGTCGTGAACCCTTTGGCAGTCAAACGGCCCTTTCACAGGGGTCGCCTAAGACCATCCTGCATATCAGATATTTCCATAATGATTCATAACTGTAGCAACATTACAGTAAGGGCCAGAAGGTTGAGAACCACTGTATTAGAGCATCTTGGTTTAGTTTGGCAAGGATGGAAATGTACTCTTTGTTTCTATTGATTTGCCTATTCTGGACTTTTCATATCAGTGGAGTCTGTGGCATTTTTAATCTGGTTTCTTTCACTTAGCATAATGTTTTCAATGTTGTTGCATATATCAGTACTTCACTTCTTCTTATTGCCAAATAATATTCTATCGCTTAGATGTGCCACATTTTATTTCTCTATCAGTGATGGACATTTGGATTGATTCCTCTGTGGTTGTTATAAGTAATGCTGCTATGAACATTCATATTCAGGTTTCTGTGTGGGCATGTTTTCAATTCTCTTGGGTATACATACCTAGAAGTGGGATTGCTAGGTCCTGTGGTAACTCTGTGTTTAACATTTTGAGAACTCCATTTCTTTTCTGTTACTCATTTTTCTCTTACTGTGTTGTGATGTTAGGAAAGGGTTGTGAGGTATTTTGTAGTTTCTTTTGGGTTCTTAGAAAGAACTATCCCCAGACTTTAGACTTATTTATTCTCTTTTTCTTACATCTGTACTCTTTTCATTAAAATTATGGGTGCTTATAATTAAGTTATTCAACAGATAAGTTAGATGAGTATTCAAGTGCTTTAAGCCATTATTTATTTTGAAACATTATGAATGTATAATTATTCATAGCCATGACTTTTATATTAATAAATTTTTCTGTGCTTTTAATTATTTAGAAAAAAGAAAGTGAGTGTCTGCAATTAAATATTTTGGTGCTTCGAAATGAACTGGAAAGACAAAAGAAAGCTTTGGGACGGGAGATGGCATTACTGCATAAGCAACAAATTGCATTACAGGACAAAGGTAAGTAAAAACACCTTGCAGATTGTCTAACTCCTGCATTTACATTTTTCTTTCTTCATAGGCTCAAATAGTTATCTTTGTGTAAATATGCTGATATAACTTAAAAGTTTTTTGAAGTATTTTGAAGATTCATACAGAAAAATATACAAATGTATGCACACACACTATACTTCAAAGTGTAAATACCTATGTAAGCTAAATCTTCATCAAGAAACTGCATATGAAGACCTCAGCATCTCAGAAGCTTCCTGATGCTCCCTCCATTCCGTACATCTCAGCCAGACTAACTGCCACGTTGACTTCCTAGACCAAACATTGATTTTGCCTAATTTCGAACTTTATACAAATAGAATCACATAATATGTACATTTTATCTTCTGGCTTTACTTCAACATTTGTTTGTAAAATTCATTTCTACCTGCATGTAATAACAGTCTTTTTCTTACTGTCAGTAGTATCCCATTGTATGAATATGAATTTATTCTTGCTTTTGGCATTTTAGTAATTTCTAGGTTAGGACTATTATAGATGTTGCTTCCATGAATGTTATAGTACATGTTTTTTAATGAAGGTTTTTTGTTTTGTTTTTGCATTTCTGTTGGATATAAACCTAGGAGCAAGCTTTCTGAAGTGGTTGTGACAGTTTATCTCCTTTCAGTCCAGCAGTATACTGTCCTATATCCTTGTCTCTTGTCCTGTGTCCTTGTCAGCATTTGGTACTCTCTGTCTTTTGTGTTTTAGCCTTCCTGGTGGATATGTTGTAGTATCTCCTCGCAGTTTTAATTTTTATTTCCCTGCAGACTAATGAACTTGAACATTATTTCATATGTTTCTTGCTGATTGGGATTCACTTGTTTGTAAAGTACCTGTTGAAGCCTTTTGCCCATTTTTTGGGGCGAGGGGGGGTTGACAAATTTTTTCCATAGGAGTTCTTGCTATATAATGGATATGGGTTCTTTGTTTGAAATATGCATTAAACATATATTCTCTCATTCTGTGGCTTGCTAGTTCATTTTTTAATGATACCTTTACATGAACTAAAGTTCCATTTTATCAGTCTTTTTTTTTTTAACTTAAGGCTTTTTTGTGATCAATATAGGAAGTATTTGCCTACTTGAATGTCACAAAGATCTTTCTCTGTGTTTTCTCTTAAGTGATTTACTTTTGTACTTTTTACATGTATATCTATAATTCATCAGGGATTGATTTTTTGTGTATGATGTGAGGTAAGAGTCAAGATTCTTTTTTTTTTCATATAGTCAGTTGACCCATCACATTTATTGAAAACCATCTGTTCTCCATTGCACTGCAGTTTCACTTTTATCATAAACCAGGTGACCATATACTGGCATGTCTGGTGCATTGCCCTATTTTCCTATTCTTTTGCCATCATCTCAGTGTTTTAATTTCTCTCAAGTTATAATTGATCTTGCTATCAAAGTTCTTCCACTTAGTTGTTCTTCAAGATCACCTTCTTTATTCTTGTCCTTTTGCATTTTCATATGAATGTCTGCACAGAAAAGAAAATCTTGCTAGGATTTTCCGTAGGACTACAGTGGGGCCTTGACTTACGAGTGTCCTGACTAACGAGTTTTTTGAGATACCAGCTGTCTCTCGGCCGATTTTTTGCATTGAGTTGACAGAGTAATTTGAGTTAACAAGCTCCTTAACAAGCTTGGTCTCAGAGCGAATTAAACTCGTAAGTCAAGGCCCCACTGTACATTTAATATATTTATCAATACAATTGGGGGATTATAGATGATTTACAATGAGTCTTCTAAAACCAGAAAAGGGTATATGCCTTTATTAGATCTTTGTAGAACACTGAAATTAACTAACTTTGGTATGTGGATGTTTCCCATGATTTATTGAACTTACTTTTTTTTTTTATGTTTTATGATACTGTTGTAAACATCTTTAAATTTTATTTTCTACTTGTTGCTGAAATTTAGAAATAAAACTGATTTTTTCAGTGGTAATGATTTTTATTATATATGCAAAGAAAAATTCCTCAAAAGTCTTAGGGACAAATTAACAGTTGCTAATGTTAGGGTAATGGCCCTGCAGCTGCAGCACTCACTCTGGTTATTTATATATTTACATTGTAAGTCAATTATATTTATATTTAAATATAGTATTTAATGAATCTTGAGCCAAGTTAAAATATTTTAAAAGCACTTGAGTCCCTGATATTGATAACATGAAGGAGAAAAATGTATTTTTCACTTGCTTTTGCAGCATTGATGTAGTGTGTTTGCTAGCCAGTAGTGAAATGGTTTGCTAATATGAATATTACTAGTAACTTCTTACATAGTAAGACTGCTCTTTGGCACTTGATGCTTATCTAGGCACTGAGCCCAAGAGCTCAGTGAAGATACCAAGTCAGTAATATATGATATTTAATCTTTGCTACTGATTTTTCTGAATGACCATAAAGGAATTACTTAACCAGTGCATCTTTATACACATCTGTGCAGTAAGGATAGCAGCTCATAACAGTGCCATAGGGATTAATTTGTGTAAACATTTGGAAGAAACCAGGTGCCTGATATGTATTTTATGTTTTTGTTTATAAAATTCATTTCAGCAGTATGATTTATTGGAAAGAACAAAAAAGATAATTTTTATCCATGCTGCCGAGTGGCCACATTACTCTGAGGGGCCTTGTTACTCCATACCCATAAGTTTCTCATTCCCATACCTCAAAGGCAGTGGTTCACAACTTATGATCTACAGCAACTTCCAGCTGGGTCATGAGCTGAACTTTTCAATATTAATGTTTATTAATGTATATATTTTCATTTCTGGCAGATATTAGTAGTTTAACTTATGATGTTTAATAAAAAACAGATTTCCCCTCATTAGTGTGCCAAGCTGGATAACCTTTACATTAAATAATTATATGTTGGTTTACAGGGTCTTTTGCCCTAACGTAACCCCCAAATCTTTGGGAAGCAGCAACACTTTATCTAAATTAGTTTGCTTGAAATTTGGTGTAGAAAATGGTATGAAACATTGATCTTGAGGAAATGTGTTTAGTAGAACCTAAATACATTTTATAAATGTTGATAAAATTCAAGAACTGAGGACAGTGGTGCCTGGGGAGTGATACTAACTTTTCAAATCCAGAATTCTCTAATCTTTGTAGAAGGAAGCTACTTTTTAATGCAATTAGTTTCTTGATAGTAACAATAACATATGTAGTTCTTTATACTTAGAAAGTGCTTGTACAAAGGTTACCATATTTGATCCTTAAAGCAATCCTGAAAGCTAAGTGTGGCAAATATTGTTCCTTTCATTTATATATGAGATTCTGAGATGGTAAGTTACTTGGCCAGCTACAGACAGACAGTTAGAAACCAAGTTGAGATGTGTCCCCAAATTCTGTGCTTTTCTCACTGTTCCATACTACTTAAAGCCTTGCAGAATACATGTATTTGAAGCCTACATAAATCCTATGAAACAGATAACTTTTATCAAGATCCTGTAATATGCCAGATATTTCACTTACGGGATATCATTTCATTCTTAAGACAGTCCTAGGGATCATAACTTTTACCTTTTTTTCCCTGGGGTAAAGAACTGGGACTCAGAGACATTCCCTAAGGTCACACAAATAAATAACAGGTCCAAATTCAGATTTAGATTTCTTTGATTCCAAAGTTTATTTTGTTTCTACTAAGCATAATATCATTATTCCTTTCTCTAGTATGTGTCAAGCAAATAAACTACCCGATGGTTTGCTAGTTTTCCATTTGGCCTGTGGACTAACAGATGGAGAACTTTGTTCTGTTGTGTTCCTTGTTATTACAGGATGGGTGAAATGAGTTTCCCAATGATTTCTTTGATTTGGTCGTATCTTAATCAAGAGATTGGAATTAAAGATCTGTTCTCTCAGTTTGTCTTTAGCTAAGTCTTTCAACTTTTTTGGACATATTTCCTTTTCACAAACAAATCAAACAAAAATTTGAAATAAATAGTCAAGATTTCTTACAGCTCTGAGATTCTACTTGTCTCAGGAGGATAGGGGCAGAAAAGATGGGGATTTGTTCACCTGTTTTATGAATTTCTAGTTTTCAAAGTAAGATTCTCTGGCCCAAGTATGTCTATAGATGGCATTTGTTCACTAGAAAGCCATTTGATGGACCCACCTCTTGGAATTTTGTAACTAGCTATATTCAACTTCTATTTTACAGATTCTTTAATTCGTTTTGGTAAGCAAGCACAAAAACAAATACATTGTTTTAGTGACATTGTGTGTAAAAGATATAAGATTTCATTGCTCAGATTTGGAGAAAGCAGTTCTTGGCGATTCCAGTGAATGAAAAGTTTAGATTTTTTTTATCACCAAAATAAGACATGTTTTATATTACTTTCCCAGCACTTATGGTTTCTTTTTGTCATTTTATAATAAAGTTTAGTAATTAAGGTGAACTATATATCTAGTTTGTTCTATTTAATTAGATTTTGACTTGGTCAACAATTTAGTCTGTTCTTTTAGCCTGCATCTCAAATAAAAGAAGACTCATAGTATATTTAAATTGGTACTTAAAGTTTCTGTCAAAGATCCCCTAGCTTGTTATTTGAAGTTGTAAAGATATTTTATTAAGTATTGTGTAATAGTTTTCTTCTTTTATGTCATAAGGTCACAAATTGAAAAATTACACCTCACAAATTTTATAATTCAAGATATATTTATTTGAAATGATGGTAAAATTTAAATTTTATTAGTCTCTGTGTGTGTTCTGATGTTTTTAGAGCCATCTGACAGAAATTCCTAAATAGACTTCCTTAAAAATTATTAATATCTGCCTTTCAAAAATTTTTGAACCTGGGGACAATTTTCTCCTGGAATATATGCTATTAAAGTTTCTTTACTTTCAGCTATTGGTACTGAATGCAGCTTGTGAAAGGCAGTAAAAGCCAGACAACTTGGTGGTTGTGAGAATAAATGTGGGCCCTAAGTAAACCTCAGATTTTCTTCTCAGAATGATTCATTT